TATGAGACAGAGAATTCAGGAGTTCAGCTCCATTTAAAAGATATCTTATTTAAGAAAGATGGCAATCCCATATAACATGCCAAGAATGTCCAAATTACCAAAGCATGTTTCATTCTAGACTCCTAACTCATACAAAAAGTCTGCTGACAATATCCACTATACATGTAAATGTTTTTGCTTTGCATTTCTCTAATACTCTGGATGTTACCCATTCAATAGATATCTGCTATTTCTATCTATCAAAACAGAGTCAACACAGTTTTTCCCCACTAAAATCAATGCAGGCTTACAGTAAGCCATCGACTATATTATTTTTCATATTATTTTTCTGCAGCTATGTATGTTTTCACAAGAGAAAGAGAGAAAAGCAATAAGACCTCTAGGTTTCTCCTTGCTCTATAGAACTCTGTGCATTCTTCTGATAATCCCAGGTAGTAACACCTCTTTGCTCCCCCTGAGTTCCCCTGGCTGGTGGGGGCACAGGAAGATGCTGCAGCTTTAGCTCCTTTTATCCTTTCATATGGCTCTAGCCCTACTCATTCTTGCTCCACAAAGCCACAAACCAAGCCCAGCATCTCAAATAACTCAATTTTCTTAAAGAATCAAGGCCTCCCCCATAAACTTCACTTCTTCCCTACTATGCAGCAAAAATACAAGGGTCTCCAGGTAGGGCAACATCTTATCTATCTCTGGGGCCTTCTTTTCACACCAGTCTCTACAAGTTCCCCACCCTTTAGGTTCCACGGTCCTTTCATCCAACCTTACATACAGTTGCTACACAGGCAAGGACCCAATGTCTCACTTGGCATGCAGATCTTTTGACTCTTTCACTGTACTTCAGGGTAAACAATTTTCTCATATCATCACAGGACACCTTTCCATCTCCCCTCTGAGGGGCCCTTTTCCACTCTTACACCCATGTCTTGCTGCAGCTCACTGCATCAACATCAGCCTTCTCTAGGCTACTGCTTTCCAACTGAATGCAATCACTGTTCAACCCTCAACTCTAATCTATCCTTTAGATAAGCTTTCCTTTTATCCAGATGAAAACAAACAAAAACCCACTTACCTCTTCTTCCATTTACATATATCACTACATGCACTTCTGTCCTCTTACTGGCAGGGCCATTTGTTCTAAAACAAAGCAGCTTTAAATACAGCTTCAGAAAGACAATCCCCACCACACTAGCTGTTGCAGGAACAGAAGCAAGCCACAGCTGTGTCCATTTATCAAAGGATCAGTTCACAATGTTTCTTGCATTAGCCTTAATTACATGGCAGAAAACCTCTCTTATCTACTAGGTGAAGCCTTAAACTGTTGACTCTTTCTCCCCTTCCCTGCAAAGCTTTTGCTGCCTCAACTTCATGTATATCACCAGCACACCAAAAACTGGGGAGGTAGGAGCCTTTTCTCTCACTGTCCTCCCTGGCAAGATCCAACTTGACAAAACTACTGGTTAGAAACCAGTTTTATAGAAAACCTTCTCAGATGTTTTTTTGTTCAAGTGGGGATGCTCCTGTTAATGAGCTGTTGCTCATTTTCATCTGTGTGTTACAGTACTTCGGAAAGCATGTTAATAATTTGATTTTTGAAAATCAAACTGAACCAACTTAACAATAGAGAATTCATTTTCCTGAAAAGATATAGAGCACTCAGGAAAAGAAGTATTTAAGACCAGACAGCCCCTTTTCCTGCAGACTTTTCTCTTTAATATCAAAACTAAAGCTCTGTGGTTTTCCTCCTGATTTTTTTTTACTAAATATGCTGCATTCTACAACTGAAACACAAAAATAAAACATATTTTTCCTCTTAACATCTGGAAATGTGATTGAATTTCTTTTTTTCTTTTTCAGCATAGAGTTTTTTAAGGAAATAAGACACAGGACTGAAAGATCAAAATAATTTATTCAAACAAAACTTGGAGAACAAGTTAAATAAGTTTGACAGCTCTTCTGGAGCTGGCATTGGATACTTTACAATGGTAGAAGAGTATATGATCAGTGCAGACCATCAGCAAGCAGCAGTGTGCCTCTAGATGTGCTTGGATGAGTATGGAAGAGGAGTGTGCCAGTAGAGGGAGACTTAAACTGCAGAATCACAAGAATGGTTTGGGCTGGAAGAGACTTTAGAGACCACCTAGTTCTAACCCTCCCCCCATGGACAGATTTTCTCTCTGCAAGTGAAAACATCTAGCTGGAGAAATGGGTGAGGTTGCGAGGGGAGAAAAAGTGCTGCTTAAGATAGGTGAGTGAAGGAAGTATAGAAAGCTATGCCATAAGCTGGGCAACAGGGAAGCTAGGGTGAATGCCAGGAAAAATTTCCCAGCAGATTAGTATATGAGCATGCCGTGACAGTAAATTCATAACAAAGAATACTTCACATTAGTCAAAACTGGAGCTATACTGAATTTACATTCACTTCTGTTAGTTGGTAGCACTCTTACAGTTTTGCTTAGAACTATGGTGTTGCACTTAGCTGTCTTACTCAGCATTAGTCCTTTAAAGAACTCTTAGACATCAAGATATAATGGTCACACTGGGAGATATTTGGATGTGACTTGACCAAGTGTCAGCCCTGTGAATTCCCCATTCCTTCTCAGCTGGGCTTGCAGAGCCAGAGAACAAGACAAAAGTCTGCCCATCAGGCTCTGCTCAAAACACTCATAACCTAATGGAGCCGAAGTTTTCCAGGAGGATGAGTAGTAACTCTGCACAGGTCCAGAATCTGCACAGAGGCTCCTTCCTTACTTTAAAACTTGCTAAACTAAGCAATCTGTCTCATTAATTAATAGCCAGAAACTCTCCTTAAAAAAAAAAATAAATAAAAAAAGAGAGAGACATGAATGGGAGAGGAGAAACACAAGCATTTCCTTAATCACTGAAGGAACAACTTACTGAACAGCCTCACTTCTGATGCTTCCTGGGCAGACTTCATCTCCTCACCTTTCTGAACCCAAGCTGACTCAGCCCTGCAGTCCCAGCCCCATGCAGGTGCCAAGGTGTGTTTGACTTGCAGAACCCAGCAGCTGTATCTGTGCAGCCATTTTATAACAAGTGCCGAGGAAAGTATGGGTGCTCAGTGTCTGTGCTCTAATTGCCAAAGTATTGTCCACTCATCTGGATAAATATATCCTTAGCTGTTTATGCCTTTCTGATATTATATAAGTGGATTTAGAGAAAGAGCATTGCCATGAGCAAGTTTCTAATTAGGAAAAGAAATAAACAGAATTATGGAATTAAGGCAGTACCTCATCCAGAACAACCCAAATTCCTTCCTTGTGCTGCAGTCCACTGCAGGTTATTAGAAAACATCTTTTAAATTATTATTTTTTAAAGTTAATTCATCATGGAGATGGAAGAGCAAAGGCAAATTCCTTTGCAGACTGGCAACCATGCTCTCAGGCTGCTGGTTCCACCTAGCTTGACGCTTCTAAGGGCGAAGAACAATGCATTACGAACAAGGTGCTCTGCCATACAGTGGACCCTCCCTTGTACAAACACTGCTGAACTATGAGCAGCAATGGTGTGTACATTCATGTTTCCTGATTTGCTCTGGCAACTTTCTGTCCATCCAAACATGCAGATTGCCATTGCTAGTCATAGCTGCCTACTGCTACTTACCTACTACCACACGGGCTAATAAGATGTCTAAATAACAGCGACTTTCTTTGCAGAAGCATCCATAGATCTCCATGCTCATCTCCTGACCTCAACACGAGAAAAGAGCACTCCAACATTTTTCACAAATGAGACTATATTTACCTAAATACTCAGTTGCAGATTTAAGTGCCTACATTTTAAAATGTTGGCTTGTGAAACTAGTGATTTGTGGTTCTCACAGGAGCAATCTGGAATTTGATGAGGAAGTATTAAGGTTTCCACTCACAATCCTACTGCTTACCGCAAAGTGTTACTGACAGAGTTTGAATCCCGAAAGATGTGGCTGTTTCCTCGTCTGGTTAAAGAAGCTGAGCAGATATCCTGGGATCTTGTGCTGCCAGTCAGAAATCTGACCCCCTCAGGAAATCATTTTACATATGAACCAGAAGCCAGACTTATCCTTTATATATGCAGACACTACCTCACTGAAACAAATTTGTTATACGGTATAAAAGTAGATGGAATTCGTGCACTGGTGACGATGGGTTTGATGAGATGTTAGCTCTTTTTCTTTCACAGAACTGAGCACTGGTCTGTTTTCTGCTGCGTAGAGGATCTCAAAGACTTTTACTTGCTGCAGTAAGACTACAAGGATGAACCAGGAAACTCTCAGGGGTTTTCTTGCCTCCTAAGGCAGTCTGCCAGTTGCAGCATGCAGATGATGAACCCACCCACTGCAGGGAAACACCATGCTCCTGGCAGGTAGTGGTCAGGACTAATCTTTGACAGTCACTGGCATGCAGGAACCTGAGCCATATGACAAGGAATCCAGCAAAGCTCATTAATGAAATACCCTGCACAGGGCAATCAGCTGAAGTAGTTGGAACCCTCACAGCCAACTACAAAAACAATGAGTTCAGAAGCACATTTAACAAAACAACTAATCATCATTTTGGGGAAGACAGCTCCAACTTTGGGTAGAGAGCCACAATTTGCCTTGCAGAAGAGTCACTATGTAACCACACTTCCCCAAGATCTGTTTCACTCCTTTCACTTCGTTGAGTGTGGCAAGGTAGGAAGGCAGGAAGCAATTTTCCATATTCCCCAAGTTACAGACACAGAAAAGATTAAGCCTGGGTACAATAGTCGTGTCCTCTAGTAGTAGACAGGCATGAGGGAATACTGCACCTGTAATATCATTGGATCAAATTACTTTGCTGCCATTGTCTGTTATCTTACACTATTTCATACCTTGAGATAAAACTTCTGTTTCTCTTAGGTGCAGAAGAGGGTTCAAGTTATTCTGATGCTGATGCTCCTGGCACCTCACACCACTTGGTGTGTGCATCCACCTTGGATGTGTGGGATGTCCTTTCTTTCCGTATGCCAGCCTACAAACAGAGACCCAGAATAATTAAGACAGTGTTCATTTTATTGTACTCAGCATGGAAACCAGAAAATGTAAAACAGCAAAACATTAAATTCCTAAGGAAGTAAATCAGGCGAGTAACATTGTTTTATATCATCGTACGACTTCTTCACATGCAGACTTCTGTTGGTATGTCTCAAATAAATGCTACGGTACATCTGGAAGCCTAGAACTAGCTTTACTTTGTACAATACATCACGTTCAGTCAGTAAAACTATAAAAATAAAGCCACAATAGTATTAGTCATCATTAGAAACACAAAACTGTTTTTCTTCTTTTGCTGACTGATTTTGGCCATCCTTTTTATGGTGCAACAGCCAGGAATTCAGAGTTCACTCATCTTCTCTCCCTTCAGCTCTGTATACAAACTCCCATCCCTTTCCAGTGTGCTACTGAGACCTTAACTTCAGACCTGAGACTTGATTTTATTTACCAGGAACACTTGGACTTTTTTTTCCCATTACTGAAACTTCTCGTGGCAGCATCTAAACCTGGGTTTAATGTACTTGAAACTATTCATTACAAACTGAGACATGGGATGTGTTTTGGGGAGAATCCCCTAACAAATGGATCAGTTGTAGTGATGTTGCCAAGAAGTATTTGACAGACTTGTATTTTGCAGTATACAACTGCTGGAGACTTTGCTGGAAGAGCTGTCATTTATTTCTATGCCAGAGGTTATCACTCTAAGCAGAAACATAAGAAAACCTCAAAGCGACTCAGCTCATATAATTCTGTCCCCAATGAGCTCAGATGCCTGCTGTCACCCACAATCTTTGTGAAGAAACCCATTTGTATACAGAAGTATCGGTTTCCACAGAGCTCTGAAGTACATCCAGGCACTGTGTTTTTGGTGACAGTCTCAATACAGAGTTCAGCCAATTGTAGTTGGAGTTCCGGGAATTAATTTAGAGACTAGATAAAATCCTTGTTTCTACTCACTATTGCAGAGTGATCTAAACTTGCCTTAAATTTGTGGAAAATGTTGAGCCTCCAGCATTCAATTAGAAATGGCAAAGGAAAAAAAAACCTCAGTAATGCATGAGCCTTACACATGTGTACAGCTCTTTCAAACGTACACACACATACATGAGCACATACAAGCTACACTTACAGCAAACTTTCTTAGAGGAAAAAAATATTTCCTCTCTGCATGGCTGGGATCTATCAATTTCTTCTTTAAAGAATCTTGAATGATGAAAGATAAGTTTCACATAACAAAATCTTTACTTCCAAGATTTGATTCAAAATCCACATTATAAATGCTGTGAAAGAAGAGGTGCTCAGGAAAGAAAACAGCAGACAAATTATTATATCTCGGAGCTTCAAAAAAATGAATGATGTTCATTTCACTTTGGACCAGTTCATGCTTCTTTCTTTTAAATAGCTACACTAACTCAGGTGGGATAATGAAATTTAGGCCCCTATTAGAACATTTCAGCCATTCCAATGTGCAGGACTTGATCTTCAAGCCCACTAGTCACTGCAGTACCCCATGACTCTGGAGATACTTGGTAGTGTGCAGCATTTAGATAGGAAAGTATGTGCATCCCTTTGGGATAACTCTGAAAACAGTGACCAGTGACCACTTACACAAACATCAACCAGATTAAAAATAATAATAATAATAATAATAATAATACACTAAAAAAATAAATGAACAAAGACTGAGATGCTACTAAAACAGAAAAAAGAAAAAAAAAGGGACGGGAAGGTTTCTTCCAGAATATAGCCCTTACCTTTCTAAATGATGGAACTGAAACACTGACTGCAAGAGGCTCTATATTGCTCTAGACCTTGGAGCTTGATGAACACTTATCTTGCATTCAGAGCTGTCATCTCCATAGGCTGACTGCAAAAGGCTTACTCTGCGTTGGTAACCTTCTGCATTCATTTTTAAAAGGTGTAAAGGAAGAGATATGGAACAAGGCAATGAAGAATCAGCCTAATAAACTAGCAAGATTTTTAGTTTTATATTTTTACATTTATAAAAACTTTGCTAAGTTGTAAAACACTGATATGGTAGATTCCACCAAATGTCCAAAAGGAATTTTCCATCAACTTCAACACTGATTTTTATTTGCATTTCCATTTCTAACTGTAACACTTCAAAGCAGTCATGACACTCAAGATAAAAGCCTGGATTATCTTTAGAACATATATTTCCTTTTTCTGAATCCCTTGAAGGTATTTCTCCAAACAGTGCATTTTCCAAGCTCTTACATGGTAGCAGTGGTAATAAATGGAGCTTGTTCACCTACTGGTATCACCAGTTACTTTATAAGATCAGTTTTATTGAATCATATTTGCATATATCTATACACACTAGCAAAATATACAGCTTTTGGAAAAGTTCACTTTCCTAATAGCCATGGGACACTTAGAACATAAAAATGTGTGAGCTCAGAATGAACAAGTGGGGATAACTGCAAGAATTAAGCAAAACATTGGCTCTAAGGACACAGAAATACCTCCATGAAGAATGCATATCAGCTATGTTTTAGTTTTCATTTGGTCTTTCCTTCCTCAATTTTCTCAGTAATTCCTTCTTAAATGTTCCAAGGAAGGTTTCCTACCTCCGAAATGGGGAAGACGAGTATTTTCCTCCCCGTCTCCAGATTCCTCACTCTGTTTTTTCTAAGCCAGCAGAGGTCAGGAGTAACAAGTCAACATAAATGAAGCAAGACTTTGACACTTGTGCCCAAGCCAACATGAAGCCAGCAGACATCAACCAAGTGCACAGACAGCGGGAGTCATCATGGCCTCAAGTGAAACCCAGGCCAGGCTGCAAACTGCCTACAACAGGATTCTCCTCCAATTCAGCTTTTGTATTGGAAACACTGAAACACAGAAGTAAACATTGCATTCTCAATAACTGTTCTGGTCTTGGCTCTGGCCATACCAGTCTCTCCAGAAGCTCTGACAGAGATGTTTCCTGACAATTAACTTGTTTCCCTTGTCTCGTCTTCCAACAAACTGAATTTAAAAGCTACTTTAACTGGTCAGGCTGCAACACAGTTCCTCTGCTTTTGTTTTTCCCTATACAGATTTACTCTTGAGAATGACAAAGTAATTTTTGTTTTGTACCCTTTTTTTTATTATCCCAAACGGATTTCCTTGGTTGTTAACTATTCAACCAACACTCTGTGATGCTGAGTCACAGGGCAGGGAAGATGAGCAGGATGAAGGCACATGGATCATCTCCCCATACACTCTGACATATACTACAAACACATTTTTACTTTTGACGCTGATACAACACCAAGAACAGTCTTTCTTGGCTGCTAAAAGACCACTCACAAACAAATTTGCTAATTGCTACCCAAAACATGGTTTTGTTTTCCTTCCGATAAACATACATCATCCATCTGAGGGTTCACAGCATCATCTAGATATTGTAAGCACAAGAAACCATAAATTGCCAGTGTTAAGCTACCAGGTTGCCTACAGTCTGCCCTAGGAGGGCAAAGTAGAAACACAAAATATTTTACATGAGATGCGCTGGTGATTATCGATTCATTTTTGTGTGTCTGTTTTGGCACATTATTGCTTGGCTTCAAATGCATGCCTGCAGGAGCTCTGCATTGCTGACATTTTGCATTTGTCTGTGCACAAGTATTTTCACAGAGTGCAAAAGCACAATGCTCTGCTGACCACCACGCTTTTTCCAGCTATGCCCATGTAGTTGTTTAGATGCATCCACTTGGTTATCTACCCAGCAACGTTTTGCTGTATGTCTGTATTGGTGAAATTTTCCTGGAAGAAAGATTGCTGGGTAGGGAAAAGGGGTAGAGCAACTGGTGAAGACTCCTGGCTGGAAGCAGCTGCAGGGTATCCAGAGATCCAGAGATTCTTCCTGAAGAAGTGTTAACTCCAGTGCTCACACACTGCTAAGCTCAGTTCAGCCTCAATAAAATCATTCATACCCACATTCTAGAAACATTTTGGAGTGCTTGAGCTAAAGGATAAAGTTCATGGAATTTGGTGAATGCATGATAGCTGTTTATTCTCTAGAAGAGGACATTTGTATAGGGACAGTTCAGAGCGTGTCGGATCACAGTGCTGTAATGGGAAGGGATGTGAGCTCAGCCAAGGGGCACGGTTTCACAGGAGAACAGGACAGGTAGCAGCTAAAAGGGAGCAGGCAGAAGGTAAAAGCGTTAAGAAGGAGCTACACAAAGTCTTGGACCTGGACAGGAGACAGCAAAAACTGCCAAAAACTCTGGGATTCTGAGCCTGACACAGACACAACATGGTAAGAGACACTGAACTCATCAACTAACCTTGCCTAATGACACTGCTGCTATTAATCCCACACAAAATCTCACATGAAACTCACATCTCAGACACTGCCAAGAAGGTGATGTGAACAGCAGTACTAACAAAAAGACAGAAGACTTTCCTCCTAGTAGATGTGGGAAGACACTCTGATGTGGCGTTTCAGATTCAATAATTCAGCATCAAGTGGGAGACGAAATAATGCACAGAAATGGAATGAGGAGGTGCCACAGAGTCCCAAATACAGACCAGAGGAAAATTAGGAGTCAATTCATTGCCAAGCCAACAGCTTTCATTGAATGAGTTTAAAATATTGGCCATTATAAAACCTTACAGTGTTTTATCCCATAGTTGGGGAAAAGGTGCCTCAACAGCTGCTTTGAAGTCTTGGCAGTTGACACTCAGAAAATCTAGTCTTCTAAATAAAAGATGACCACCTCAGGGCTACTTCATAGACAAAAAGATAAGAAAGGATACTAACATATCTAAGATCTACAGAGTAAGTCTGATGTATAGTACTACAGACAAATAAATTATCATCATGATTTGTGAAAAATCCTAAATGGAATAAAAAATAACTCCTATTTAACTGTAGTACTCTGCAGGATTACAATATCCAAATCCCCAGTGCTTTGCAGAATTGAAAACTATATTTTCTACAAACTGCAGGAGTTCCCCAGCTCCCCTGAACTCTAGCGGACAGAATAAAAAGCTGGTGGGAAACAGATCTCCCAGGCTGTAAAATATTAAGCTGAGATATGTGAAAATGTTCATTTGAGACATTATTATATACCACAGTCCTGGAGAAACAGTCACTAAGCTACCTCTTATTAGCAGGTTCTACAACTTCTCTAATATTAGAAATACACTAAAAATTGTCTCAAGATCTCAGTACTTCTATAAAGTAAATGTTTCAAGTTATCTATAAGGGTTTATAATATAGAAAGCATTAGGCGAAACAAGGAAAGCACAGGCTAAATAAATGATATCAAGTTTATGAAAGGCAGCAAGAAAAGCACCAGAATACTGCAAAAAAAAAAAAAAAAAAAAAAAAAAGATTCACATAAGGACTTACAAGGAAAAAAAATCAGAGCAGCGTAACACACGAAACACTTGGGCTCACGGACCTAGGCTCAGCCTGCTCCTACTCTAACATAGCACTATGCATCTCTGAAGAGAGCAAAAAGACCGACACCACTTTAAAAAGTGCTTTACAGGAACAGTGTTCAGAACTGCTGGAGGCTGAGAGTGACATGTGGCTGCTGGGCTGGCACCTGGTATGCCAGGAAATCTGGCTGCGTGCGCTCTCTTGTCTGGCCCAACATGAAGGCAACACCTGCTTGCAAGCATACTCACACCTCTCTCATCCTCTCATCAAAATCCTATTTTACTCAACTTCTTCTCCCAGAGAGAATCCTGCAGCACTGGTCTTCATTCTTTCCTTGGTTCTCCACTTCATTGGGAAAAGAACCAGCTCTCTCAGGCTCACCTAATCTGAGCCCCACAGCATCAACAGGAGTACGTCTGCCCAGTGATCAGCATCCGTAACCTTCTCATGGACATGCCTCAGTGTAGGCAACTTAAACATGAGGAAGGTTGTGTTGCTCTAGGCGTCTACAGCTGTTAACCTTAGTTTCACCTCATCCAGCTCCCCCCAGCATTTTCCTTTGCGTAAGACCTTGTGATGTATACCAATAATTTCTGACAATCATCCTGATAATCTCTCTGCTTCTAGCTTTATCAGAAGTTGCTGCATTCCCTGCAGCAAGGTGGTAATTCATATTTGTGCTTTTGCTAAGTGCCTAGCTCTTATCTGACAGTGATCGGGATGGGGCGCCATGTGGAAATACACCAGCTATGGCGGTGATGAAGGTGTGATGGAGAGAGTGTCTACTCAAAAAACAAAGGGGAATAACTTCCACTGTTGCTGCCTTGCAACCCCAATGACACAACTGAACAGCAGGACTCGAGACTCAGGGGGAGGGATTCTTGCTACATCTGCAGACATCTACCCACCCCTGTGGACCGCTTCAGTCTAACACAGATGACGGAGCGGGTCGGACACAGCAATTGGGACGCCTCAAATTCTGCAGCATGGACTGGAACACGTTATGCTGCCTCCCTTTCAGTTTCTTATTTGAGGACGTATCCGAGGAAATGGATTTCCGGTTCTGACTGTTCTGAGCCCGGATCAGTTTCTCATGTTCTCGTATCTGTCTCTGTAAGTGGTTCTGGATAGCGATTCCCAGGGACTCGGGATCGAGGGAAGCACCGTAGACCTCCCACGTCATGCCTTGCTCATCCCAGACAACATCCCTGATGTGTTTGGATTGTTTCACCTGCACTTTTGCCTCCATGGCTGGGGTGGGCTGCTTCTTGCTTTCCCCATGGTTTGGCAAAGACTGAGCTGAAGAAGGACGAGTCGTGGCATGAATCTCAGGCCTAGTCTCCTTGGCCTGAAGGCCCTGCTGCTGGGGAGCTGCCGAAGCTTCTGGGTGAGGGCTGACACGTCCAGAGCTGCAGCCTGGCACAACTGTCACTCCCTCCTGCAGCCCACTGGCCCCTGCAGCCTGCCTTGCCTCTCCTTGGCCTCTGCTCTGCTGCTCCCCACCTGCCTCCCCTGTGTGAGCCTTTCTGCTGATGGGCTCAGAGCTTGTGTTTACCGTTCCCTGGGCATCCGGCACCATCAAGTTTTTCTCCTTCGATTTTGCTGCAGATTGAGGAATCGCCTCCGCTTTATTTGTACCCTGACATTGCTCAGAGATGCTCAGGGCTTCTTCATTCTGCTTGGTTTCACCCTGTGAGTGACAGAGCGAAGGTAACTGGCTGCTCCCTGCTTCGTGGACAAGACACTGCACCTTGTTCTCAGTTCCGGCAGCAGAAGCAGTGTTTTCTTCACCAGCTGCAGGCTGATGACGGGAACGAATGATGAGCTGCTCAGCGGGCACTGACTTTGGCAGGGCTGCAGCATCCATTGGCAGTACAGCATTGCCCTTACCACCACTTGCTGCATCCACAGGCATCCCTTGCGAGGTGGCAGCTGCTGAGAACAAGGGGAGGGTGGGCTCTGCATTGTCTGCTGAAGCTGGGGACACCGCATGAGGTGAGACTCCAGGCAGCTCAGCAGGCTGGCTTTGGGCTGTAGCAGCCACAGCCATACCAACGGTTGATTTCAGCACAATACCAGGAGAACACGGGGATTTCTGTTGTGAAGAGAAGCTGTCAACAAGCTTAGACTGGCTCAGTCCCCCACTATCTTTGTAAATGATGTGCAGCTCTTCCTTATCCTCGGGAGGAGGATTCCCCTTTAAGAAGGCAGCAAGGATGCTGGGGCTAGTGGAAGCTGATTTGCTCTCCACAGTAGCCACAGCCTGAACCTCAGCATCTCTCCACGTCCTGCTTGCTGCTTCCTGAGTTAAAGTGCTGCATTCTGACTGAACTGTCATTGTACCCGTTTCTCTGAATTTGGACAGATGGGTTGGGCCCAAGTTCCCTGGCTCAACACCAGCATCACATACAGGATGTGTCCCCTCACGGCTGAGCTGGGTTGATGACTGGCTGCTCTGCTCTGTCTCAGTTTGATCAGTAGGATGCAGCTGCTCAGCGCCTGCAGCCCTTCTTTTTGCATCCACAGCCTCCTTTGGGTCCCTCGCAGGATCAGTGGTTGTGTCCTTTGCTGGAGAGGCAGGCTGAGCACCAGCCTCTTCTGCTTTCCCACCTGTTTCCCCTCTTTGCAGAAGACTTGCCTGAGAAGCAGGATTGAACTCATTGCCCCCAGCTGGGCTGCTTGGGGAAGAACACTGGGTTACCTGGAGCACTGGCTGCTCCTCAGCCCTCTGAGCCTTCATGGCAGAGTCCTCCACCTGCACCAGAGCATTCACCTTCATCTGGCCACCCTGCATGAACTGCTGGGAGCTCTGTGGAGCCGGCATCATGTCAGGCCCGCACCCTGCTGAGCAGGCCACTGCCAATGGGGTTGGCTCTACCTCTGCCTGAGGGCCCTCTGCAGCCTGGCTGGAGAGCCCAGGAAGAACGCTGTCATCCTCAGGCCTCTGGGTGTCGGTATGCTTCAGGTCACAGGTGCAAGAGGCCGCAGAACTAAGTGTTGTGCAGGGGAAGCCATTGCTGGTCCTCTCTGCAGTATGAGCCTTAGGCTGCTGCTTAGCAGGTGGCCGGTCTCCCAGGTGGTCCTTATCCTCAGAAGCAGTGACCAAGGAGAGCTTGGCAGGTCCCAGGGGATGTGGTACAGTCCCCATGGACTGTGTCAGGGATGGGGCTCGCTGTCAGCTTCTTCTGGGAGCTTTCTTGCAGGGCAGTGGGTCCAATGGGCAGGCTAACAGCAGTAGTTTGCTGCACAGGAAGAGCTAACCTGTCAATGAAAGAAATGTAGTGTTAGCTGCATTCAGATTTAAGAAGTACCAAAAAAATTTATTTGACAGCTTGGAAATAAATACTGGTAGGTACGGAGGAAAGAAAAACACCCAATTCTGCTTTCAGGCCACATAAAAGACTCAGATTTCAAATATCTCTCAATTCTGAAGTCTGGATGTCTTCTCCAATCCATTAGGACAAGAGAGAACGGTTTCAGTACAACGAAAAACAATTTTAAATTAAAAGAGGTGAGATTTAGGTTACGATGTTAGGAAACTGTTTCACTCAGAAGGTGGTGAGGCACTGGCACAACAGCCCAGAGAAGCTGTAGATGCCCCATCCTTGGAGGTGCTCAAAGCCAGTTTGGATGGGATCCTAAGCAGCCTGAGCTGGTAGGTGGCAGCCCTGCCCATGGCAGGAGGGCTGGAATTAGGTGTGCTTTGAGGTCCTTTTCTCTAATTCTAAGACAATGCTAGGAGCAAAGAGAAAGAGGGATTGGCAGAAAGAACAGCAGAAGGATATGGAAGTCTAAGGGAAAACACTTAGCTACAAGAGGCCAAAAATAAACTCTGAGATAAAAATCCTATATCAATCTGTCCATGGAAGGTGAACAAGCAATACCTTGCCTGCTGTGAGCAGGTGAAGATCAGACCTGTTTCCCTGGACTCCTGGGACCTGAGCGATCTCACTTTTTGGCTGTCCATCCATGAAGTGCCCTTCCCTCCCTCCACTGTGACCAAGGAAATGCTCACACCAGGCAACAGGCCAGCACAGACTAACATGCACAGAGTTACTCTCTGGTAAAAAGAATACAGAGAGAAGATAACCTGCTGGGTAGCACAGATGAATGAATGCCAAGAGAAGCTACTGTGCTGCAAAGCCAATACCATAGCCAGTAACAGTAGGGAGGGATTTTAACCAGGTGGAGCAGAGTTGTCCAGGTTGAAATCTGGCTAGGACTGCAGAGAACCTGTCACTTCAAGCAGAAGATGACCTCAAAACGTGCTTCTTAACAGGGACTTCAAGAATACTCAGCATTGCCCAGCTCCGGTCCTGCTAGAGGTCCAAGTATCATTCCTCTCAGTGTCTGCAGAGTGGTGGTGGATCAGCAATTAAGTCCCACTTTGTTCTGATTTTAAATTGCAGGCTATCTATGCTATATCAAAAACTCCTTTCAAATGCTTTCCCCAGCTCATGCTGTCAACAGAGCACCAGTTTGTAATTCAGAAGACAAAACATTTATTTTTTTGTTGAACAGACAGATGATGCTGGGAAAATGTATACCCACATTTCTACATGCACACAGTGAGGTCTACTTCACAAAGTGACTTGGGAGATGCTGCTGGCAGGAGCTGTGCAATTGCTTAGTACCTCCAGACACTCACTATCTGTTGGCAGTTATCAGCATAAGTCCTTTCCAAAAGACATTCCTACCTGTCTCCTCTCTCTAAACCAGAATGGCAATGCTGTAAGACACCCTAAATTTCATCACTTCAGGGCAGGTAGAAAGAGCAATAGGAGAAAAGAGTTCAATGAGAGGAAAATGTAAGTGAATACAGACAACTTATTTGTCCCAGTTTCAGCTGGGGCAGAGTTGATTTTATCTTCATTGTGTCTGATATGATGCTATGTTTTGGTTTTAGAAGAAAAAGAACATTGGTAACACATCAATGTTTTAGTGTTGTACAGAGTCAAAGATATTTCAGTTTTTCAGCTTCTGGTACTGTCCCATCAGAGAGGGGGGCTGAGAAGGCATAGGGAGCTGAGAGGGAACAGAATCAGGACAGCTGACCTAAATTGACTAAAGGGATATTACATGCCATGTCACATCACACACACAGAAAACTTTGAAAGGGTGCAGAGTTTGCACAGAGCAATCGCACTGTGCCACACTTGTTTTGTAAAATACATATATTATTATCATTGCTATTTTTGTTTTCTTTCTCTCTTAGTAAATAATTGTTATTCCATCTCAATAATTCTACTCTGTTGCTTTTTCTTCTGATTTTCTCACCCATCCCACTGGGAGGAAGGGGGAGTGAGCAACGGCTGTGTAGCGCCAAGCTGCTGATGGGTTAAACAACACTATTTTTTTTCTAAGAAAAACACTGCAACTTATTACTTATTCATTAACCTTTATGTCTTCCAGATATTAATAATTTATTATTTTTATCCTGTATCTTTGGGCTCTATCCAACCACAGATGCACACAGCCTTCCAGGGAGCTGAGATCCTGCCCCTGTAGGATACCAAATGACTTAGCTGCAGTCTGTGTTAGCAGCCCCATATTGCTCCAAAGTGGGTCTGCTCCAAGGCTAACGCTTGCTAAGCTGTTTGAGACGTACTGAGTTTATGTAAAACAGACTGCAAAGTTGCACAACTTTGTGACTGCCTACAAGACACGTTTGCTTCATTCTGTGCTCACTTCAGTGTGAGCCAGCGCAGTCCTGAAGAAGGAAAGCCATCCAACTTCATGCTGTTGTACCATGACTGAACATCGAATGACTGTGAGCAGAGTAGCAGATGGCTCGGGGCATCTTTTTTCCTAAATTCTAGTACTCTCTTCTTTCCTTTTCCAATGTCAGTGCAAAACAAACCAGAACATACAGTTGGGCAGGTCACGTTATTTTGTTCTTAGGTCAAGAGTTTCTTTAAACCAACTAAAAAAAACCCAGGACAAAACCAAACCAGTTCTTAGGATGAGACATACAACTTGGGGAATAGTCTTAGAACAAACAGAGAAGGCAGAGCAGACCTGTTTGGTTCTTCACTATACGACAATCTCAGAGAGGGGGGGTACATAAAATCAAACACTCTGGATGGAAGCAGATTGCCTGTGTTCTCATATGCAAATCCTACAGCAGCAGAGATGCCAGCACAGATCCGTGTGCTGCAGCTAGAAGCAGCTGCGACAGGAATTCTGCATACTGAAAGTACACTGTAACTGAAACTCACTCAGTGGGGGAATAATTCCTTATTTTTCAGTTAAGTAAATCAGTTCTGACCAGAACTCCCACATGAATCCCCCATCTCTTTAGAGTCTCTTCAGCAGCATCACTAGAAAGTATGTTTAAGAAAGTTTTTTTTTTTGTGTGCATACACTTAAATGACTGTCACAAGTGCTAATTACAAGTGATTCTGCTACTTATCTCCAGATGTATAATACTAAGAGGAAATTCTGCCCTACTAAACCTAATAAACCTTTCTGGTGCGGAGAACATGACCCAGACATTTCACTTAACATCAGAACACAGGGTAGGGAGCCAGATCACCCTCCTGAAATATACATTATTTTACGAGAACAAGGTCTTTGTAAAGACTTCCTTGTCAAAGTCACAAGAGCTTTGTTATTGTCAGACTCTTTACTAAGCCAGGCTGTTGACAGGAACCAACAACACTGCAGAGTATAAGTAAATGTGGTAATTATTGTCCATATTCTTTCTCAAAATTAGTAAAAGTCAAAATGTTTTATGCAAGAGGAAAACCACCAAAAGCAGCTAATTACAGAACTGGAAAGGCATTTTTACAACTGCCAGGAGTGAAGGACAACAGTGAGGCCTGTGGGCGCAGCGTATGCATGCTATTCCACTGCCAAAGCAGCGAGGATTCAGACCAATAAGCAACTCTGACTGCAAGCAAATACCTAGAAGAGAAAGAAATGCAAACTTCAATAGCTGGCCAAAAAAATATGTCAAAACAAATCAAGATCGCTGGTAAATTTTTGCAAGTGTTACATGCCTGACCTGGAGCAATCAACCAAAAATTTCTTTCATCAGGAAGAGATATCAGTATCTCCACAAAGGTCAAAATCAGTTTTTACTAATAAGAACAGATTTTTGATGGGAATACAACTCTCCTCCATCTTGTTCATTCTGATCACGTTAGTCTGTCTATCTTGTCAATCCTACCTCAGTGTAGAATTATTCCTGACCTTTTCGCAAAAAGAAGTTTTTAAATTGACCAAGTCCATGGCTTATGTCTGGCAGATTCTCTGCATGGTCAGCAGAGCTCCACACACTCTTGTCACTAAACGTATCCTCTTTTATCTGCTTTACACAAACAAAAAAAATCCACAATACCATACAAAACATCTTAAGAAGTTTCCAGGCAACTTAATGTAGTTAACTTCAAGCTACATTGTAAAGAAACTGCTATTTATCTCTGTAACTCACTGCTTACATGAATGTCAACAAAACCAGAAAGTCTGCATATTTTCTAAAACAAAACAGAATTTTCCAAGACACTCCAGCATAAGATTCTGCTTGCCACTTCTTTTGGAAAAAAACCTGAAAATCTACAGAAGCACAAATAAGACTACCAGCATCTCTAACTGCTCTTAATTTTAAAAATAATTTAAAAATCAATAATGAAAAATCAATAATGAAAAGCAATCAAACTGCAGCTCCCAAACTAATCAAGTGCCTCCTTCCAAATTCTGGATTCCCATCAGATTTCCATTCACTGACTCTCCACTCCTTGAGCCTATTGATGTTAAGACCAGATATTTAGTAATTCCATTTCTCATTGTATGGTTTCTCAGATTATCACAGAATTATATGCGTTAAGGTTGCAGATAAACACTTGCTGAGGCAAGAATTCAGCCCCCTTCTTGTCAACTGGTTTAGGGAAAAAACAACAAGATGTTCTAACTTGTATTAGACCACTGAATATACAGATCACGAAGCACATTCCTCCAGATTTTATATATACATATGCACATGCATCCATCTTAACTCTGCCATCTTCTGTTTTTTTTTCTTCCAGCTCTTTAAGCTGGTGTTCTCTATAAAATGCTGACTTTCTCTTTTTAGTGTCAAAGGGTGTTAGTTATACAACTTCAGAAAAATTTGCTTAATGAGTTATTTTCTCCTAATTGAGAATTGCCGCTACCAATGAAAGACAGAGCAAACCAAGGATGTACTCATTAAAATATGAAAGCAACAACCCAAAGAGGTAAGATAGAAGATAAACACAGCTTCCATCTCTCAGTGTGGTTTG